CCCTACATCCATTAAAATGATTCTTAAGGACAATATTTTATCTAAAAGTAATGTGTGTGTTCAGTGTTTTTCATTAAAAAAAACACAAAACATTCAAGCTTTCTTGAAGTCAAAACTGAAAATATTTGTTCAATAATTTTAAAAAGGCTTTGTTATGTGGATTAATCCTGCAGTCTTTGGCATTTTACATTAATCATTCAATAGTAAGATTCAACAATGTGTAAAAGTATTTTTGCATACTGTGAAAGTCTTACAGCTTTTACTGGAATATAGAACAAGCCATCCAAGTATTACATAGTACTTACATAGTATTTTGTGTTCTAATACATTTATATTAGCTCTAGAAAATCACAGAGTTAGGTGAGAAAATATATCAGAAAATGTAAGTATGCGTTCCAGATTGCAAGGATAATTTCTTTCTAATTAAGACACGATTATTGGGCTGCTAGCTGGGGAACCAGTTTATCCTGGGAAGCAGATACAAAGACTGAGAGGAAAAAGCTTGGATTGTATCTTCTTGTGCAAACCCCTTGTACTCTGAGTCATATTTGGGTTGTTTCATCTTTGATCATTGAGTAGAGTCAATAGAGTATTTCTCCTGTGTGACTTTTCTCCAGTGTCCTGAGCTCAGGCCAAGTAGGAACAGAAGGTGGAAGAGAATAACCCTTAAGTCAATAGTAGTCACTAGTGTTTCTCCTCTCCATTATCTTTAGAGTTGTTCTTAAGAACAGGAAGAGAATGTTTTCTCTTTCAAATTGGTTAAAGGTTTATGGTGTACTTTTAATTGTTACTGTGAAGTCCTTTGTGACTTCCTCATTGCTCTCTAGCACCTCAGTGTTTCCCAAATAAAATTTTAATGCCGATTTTGGTTTATTGGAAATTAAACCAGAAAATAAATGGGATCTGGTTTGAATTGAAAATTATTACCACGACAATGAAATTACACAACTACTGATGAAAAATCACACTTGTAGGAATTCTAACAGCCACCTGACATCATGTCTTTTCACTATTTCCATTAAGTCTTGAGAAGTTACACTTTAGTCAGCAGCATTGCTTGCAGCTTGGCCAGGCTTCAGTCCTTTACCATTTTGCCCTTGCTTCCTGTCTAGTTTTGTTCAAGTCTATCTATGACTTAGTTCCCTGTTTAGAAAAGACAATAGCACTTCTCTACCTCATTTCAGATGTGGAAGGCACTGTATGTGGTATTGAGGTTTTTTTCTACATAGCAGAGTTCATGTAGGCAGATGTACTTGCCTGAGCTGGGAAGTGGCTGGAGGTGAGTTTGAGGTGGGCTGAAGGCCACGCTGGTTTGTGTTGTTACTCTGCTGCTCATGTGTTTCAAGCAGAGCGTATTTCAGATGGAAGCTAATTCAAGTAAAGATGTATAAAGGGCAAGATGTAACAATTTTTTATTTGTCACAGCATCTAAGTGGTATAGCAACCATAATTTCAGATCTTGAATTTCTGAGAGTTATGTTTCCTTCCATCTTAAACAACATATGGAGTAAATTGAAGCTTCTGATGTGCAATAGTAAATCATAAGCTTGTATCAAAGTGCTTTCTGTAAGTGATACTGCTGTATTTTAATTCTTTGTAAAAACTTTGTTTCTACATATAATTTCTTCTTTCTGATTTTTCCAGTTCCCACTCTGTTTTGCAAGGTAATAGGCATATACAACATTAATCTACCTTTTTTGTTAGCCACTTTATTTTTTCCTCACCGACACTGGAAATTAAGGTACTTTGCCAACTTAGCAGTGTGGTTTTTTACCCCACCTTGGGCCCAAGCCTTGGTGACAAATAGAGTGCATTTGTGACTCTGTTATCTTCGTTGTGTTTTTTTGTTTCTATAGTGACAGAAATACACAATATACATGCATATGTATCTTCCCTAATGAGGAGCCTGAAGTATTATGGATATTGTTTAGAGTAGCCCAGGTTAGTCCTACTTCAGTGAATAGTTGATTAAGAAACTTGTCTCAGGTTGTTACACTGATGGTTAGACAGATGTTCCTTCCTTGGTGAAGCCTTTGTCAAGGTCTTAGGCAAATCTGTTTGCTCAACAGTTTCTACTCGTTTTATGTAGCAGGTTCTTGCTGATTAGCTTTGGAATCCCTGGTCCCTGACAGTATTTCTATTTGCAGCCAAAAAAGGCAACTGTTGGTTATTAATGCTAAATTAATAAACATTATAAGTACCAGTATTTTAATTTTTATTAGTTGGACTCTTCATCTATTTCCAAGAACAACAAATACAGCCCCCCAAAATCAGAAGAAAATATATCTGTTTTCAAAAGTTTTAATAGCTGAAAGACAATCTACATAAGTCCTTCCAGGTGTACAGTTTATCAGACTACAAAGATTAAATGGTTTTGCTGCTGTGGCAGAAACTTCTAAGCCTAGGAATAATCTACTCTAAACCAAAAATGAGACAAAAGGCAGGATATGAGTCCTGATTATGATGATAAGCAGCAGGAAAATGTGCTCCAAAATGTTGCTATATACTTTTCTTTCAAATGTGGGCTGTGTTTAGCTAACCGGAGGAAACATTCCTAAAAATGTGTAAATTTAAAAATAGCTAGGAAATAATAATAGGAACTTAAAAAAAAATATTAAGGACCAGAGGTAGCATTTAAGAACATAATGAGTATTGTCTTTAAAGATCTTACCAGCTTTATCTGATTGAATTATTGGACAGTTTCATAACTGCTTCCATATAAATAAATGGATAAGATATTTTAAATGCTTCCTGAAGTCAATTTGACATTTGTATTGTAAATGCTTGGAGTGTACTATTACTATTCTTATCATTAAAATGTGTTTACCTTAAAAATACTTAACTTTCAAATACATTACTGTTTTGGTGAATCACTTTAATAATTACTTAAATAAACAAGAACAAAAAAAACCCAAACCAACCAAACAAAAAAGAGTGTTCACTGTAAAAGAGCTTTTTCAGACAAATGCATTCTTCTCTGTAGCCACAGCAGGTGGGAGTTTAATTGCGTGATCCAGAAACAGTGATTAAGTACGTCCATGCAAAGGATTGCTGGCACTAGGGTTTTATACCTTGCTAAATCCCTCAACTGTCTGCATAGAGTGTGGAATTAGCTGTTTTCAAGTATTTTAATTTTATTGTAATATTTGGTGAGTTGTTACTATAAGGGCAATTAAAAAGTATTGGAATGCTTGTGAGTTAGCACTGGAAGAATTAAAGAACTTTTCCAATGAGGTACTTGAGGATGTTCTTAACTCTGATGACTTCATGTGCGTGATGTGTGATAAATTAAGAAATACTTTGTAAGTTGTTAAACAGATTCATTTCTACTCAGAAGAAATCAGAAAGAAGCATGTTTTATCTTGTTAGTTAATGTTCACTGATCTTGTTAGTTAATGTTCACTGAAGCTGTAGCTTCTATTTTTTTGAAGTAAGGAATTTTTTTAGCTATTAGAAATATTATTTATATAGGGTGTATGGTAACTACCTTCCATTTGTTTGCTCAGCTGTGGAAGAGCTTATTTTGGACTGTTTGGCAATTTTGTTTTGTAATAGGGTAGTTTGCGTTGGTGGAGATGGATCTGTCAGTGAAGTTGCTCATGGTCTACTGCTTAAAGCCCAGATAGATGCTGGAAAAGACACAGACTATGTACGATCGCCTGTCAGAGCACCAGTTCCTCTTGGAGTAATACCCGCAGGTGAGACTAAGAGGTACTGTTCTATTTTCTAAATCATCTGTTTTAAGTCCCTCTGGCATATTTTATAGTTTGGCTACGAAAGACAATTCTTGGTGCTAAAGCTTTAGTTGCTTAAGAGAGCTATTGAATAAATGTCCTAAATTAGTGATTTAGATTGATTACAAATGACAAGATTTTAAATAATTATTATTATGGTAATGGCACAGATGAGCTCTTTGCCTAAAGGAAGAAACTTGGGCAGAAGAGAACTAACACAATATTCAGCTGATCCATGCAAACATCAAGATTTGCCATTATTTGCTGCCAAAACCAATACCAAATGAAAACTTTTTCTAGAATTTCCTTCATATAAGCCATACTGTTTTGCTTCTCTGCAGTTTTCTTGGCAGGATTCTCAGTTGGTTTCATGCTTAGGGTCTATTTTTAAATTGTGTCCAGGAATAGATTTTGTGGATGATATTAAAAAAAAATATCAAATGTGCACACAAGGCTGTATTCATGCTCCTTTATTCTACAGACCTAAACTTGTATGCATCTCTTTTGAAAAACCCTCTTGCTCCTTTAATAACTTGTACTCAGATCTTGTGATGTGGGTTTTTTTTGTTCATTTTGGGGTGTGTGTGTCTTTTCTTCCAATTTTTGTATTTGTCCTTCTCAGTCTATAACTAGTAAGGAAGAATTCCTGGAGCCAGGTGAACAGCAAATAGTTGTTTTCAGTTTTCTACAAAAAAAGAGCAAGCCCCTCTGAACTGAGTGAGCAGGTTTTGAGTGCTCTGACTTGTTTTGCACTTCTAAAAGCAACATTAAGACAGCATCTAGTTGCTTGTAAAAATGCATGATTACGCTAACTTTCTTCAAGTTAAAAAAAGCCTTGAAAGTATGTATCTTGAAGACATGAAGCAAATGAATTTTAGTATGGTAGTTGGATCATCACTTGTCAGTTCAATTGCTGTCAATGTCTTGATGGTGTTGAGATGGAATCTCTCCAGCTCTTGACTCCATGATGTTTGGGTGTGCTTGGGTCACTGTGCCTAAGTATTAGTCCTCACTCTCTTCAGTTAGAGACAAATATATCATGATCAAAAAGGATTTGTATACTCAGAAAGTTGCTGTATGGCTTGTTACACAGAATGCCTTCGAGTTTGTTAAAAGAGGATGAGGACAATTTATAGAATATAATGTGAGAAACTCCTTAATAGGTTCTTAAAGATAATCTATAGTTTATTTTATTTCCATATTATTGATATGCCAAAAAGTAGTTGGTTGGGGAAAAGATAAGTATGATACTTGTGTACATGGAGAAGATGGAGCTCAATGGTCAGTTAATTCCCCCCCCCCGAAATCCATTGTACCATATTATTATTAGACAGCATTTTGAAGTTTCAGCCAACTTGATAGGAAGTGTCAGCTATTGAAACAGTTTACTGCCTGAAGAGAGAGGTCCAGAGGGGAGTATATTTTTAGTAAAATACTCTCCTGAGCTGCCTTATTCTGGTCCAAATTAAATGGATGAGATGTGGGGAAGCCTGCAGTTGTATTGCTGGCCATTAGCAAGAGTGTTTGTTGCTATGGGAACTACTGCTAAGAAACTGTACGGAGGGAGAATGGGAGAAAGGGGAGGGGGAACTGGAAGGACATGAAAAAAGCTATCCAGTTCTTACAGAACAAGAGACAATCTGTATCTGATGACTGGAAACCTTTTGGTTCATTTAAATAAATTCATTATTTGCAATTAATTTAGAAAATATTTCTGAGGGACTGTCAATATCTGTGATATTGCATGCAAAGAACCAAAATGTTTATGCAGTTTTCATCAGAATTTTAGCTATGCTTGACTAGGAAGTCATTACATCACATTTATCTGTTTGGATGGGGGAGACATTAACAGCCTTATGAATATTCATGTTGTCTGGTTAATTAAGTTAATTGTACTGCAGAAGTGCTTACACTTCCAAGGACAATTTTTTTCTCTACAGAGTCTGTTCGGTACCTTCATCAGTCTTGCTTTACATGACCTGCAGATACTTTGTCCTTACTATGATGATTTTGCTCATTACAGAGGAAGGTAGTTGTAGGATGTTGTTTGTAATATCATGAAAATGGGTTAATATTTTTAACACAAGTATATTTTTTAATAATAAAATCTTCTTTGTTTCTGTTTTAAAAAAATGTGGGGAGAGATGCATTGATGAAACATCTTGCAATAAATTGGTTAGTTAGAGTGAGAGCTAAAAAGGTGATGCTCATATATGAGCATCAAAGGTTATCAGTCTCTGAAGTTATGTGATTGTGTTTTAAGGAACTATCTTGTTATTGGTAAATAATATTCTGAGTGTACATAGGGGAGAACAAGCTTTAGATTACTTGGGAAGATAAATAATGGCATTGAATCACCACTTGAATCAACAAAGCTTATATTCTAGTAATTTTTGTATGTTAGCTGTCATTGTTTTGGCTCTGTTTCTAAGCTTTTTTTTTTTGTGTGTGTGGCATCCTGCAGGTAAAGGACCTAAGTAATAAAACATAGTTCAGTTGTTACTGGGATCAAAATTTACAGAATATTTAGAGAAGGTGATAGTACTTGCTACTGCAAAACTGTGTGTTCTAGATCTCCAACTTGTGGAAGGGTGGGTGCATTACTTATGTTTCTGAACCCAGGGAGAACTTGATTTATTTTTGCAGGAGCCATGAAGGGGTGATGTTTTGCTTCCTTGTTTACTTCTGCAAATGTTAATGAGCTCCACATATTTAAGAGGATGCAATTACTTGTGCCTATCCTGTTTCGTAAGAATGAGATTTAACTCTCATTAAAGTCAGTGTAAAGATTGATATTGACTTCTGCTGTGGTCTGCTCTTACCTTGCTGCCATCCATATCGGTCAATTACTCTTACGTTGAGGAATCCTGGTTTTAAGACATACCAAGCCTGGTCATCAGAAGTATCTTCTGCCTTTTACTCTTACTATACTGATCTTCAATGACAAAGAAAAATATTTTTCCAGAATAACAACCTCCCTGATGTCAATTTAGAGGAAATAAACACAATTTCCATGACTTATAATAAGCTGCTCTGTGTGTGTGATTTCCCTTCTTTTGGACAGCTTCCTATAATAGTTTATAGGAGTTGGAAAAAATGACTGGAGGAAATATTTGTGCATTTTTGAGATACTTCTTTAGCTAACTTAACTGGCTAAGAAGAATTACTTGAACCTAGCAGTTAAATGTCGTAAGTCTTTCAAACATGAAATGATGTTGGGCCTATACTTGTAATATTCTGTGAAGAATTGCTTTTTAGGTCAAACCTATTTTTTTTTTGTCCCTGCATGTTTGTGATAGAACTTTATGTTCACTGAATTTAAAAACTCAGTAATTTGCTTAGTAAATAGTATCTAAAGCTACATTCTTGCCTTTTTTTATGCATATTGTACAGAAGTTCAAATTCCTTTTAGTTGAGTTGTTGGATATATGTTATGGCATATGAATTATTGAAATTGTAATATTCTTAATAAACTGCACTTTCTGTTAGTGTATCTACAGAGTCTTTCTTTTGGGAGAAAAAAGCAGAGACTTGCATTTAGCTTTTGAACTTGTCAGGTTAATTTTCTTTCAAAATACTTAATAATCTCCATTTTCTGGGTTTATTTAAACTGCATTTCTTCAGAAAAGGAGGAAATTAATAGTTTAGTCACCTGCAAAATTATGAGAAATATATGAATGAAATGATTTTTTTAATTTTTCAAAGAATAAATGGTACATAATCTGATTTCTTCCATGTACCTCTGGAGGTGTTATTTTCAGACTTTTGTAGCTGTTATTTTAATTGATGTACCTCACTTATTTCCTTCACATGGTAGGACCCTAGAGAGTCTTACTCAGAGCTCCTCTCTCTGGTGTTACGAAGGCTTCCATGAAGTTCTGAGTATTTTGAATTACTTTAACTAAGTTGCTCTGAGGACGTAACAAGTCTCTGTGAGATGCTGAGATACAATAACCAGTTATTTTACATATTTTTATTCAGAAAATTATTGAAAAGAATGAAAGCAGATACTCCTGAATAAGAATGGCAGGATGTTGTAAGACCTTTGTAACTATGTCCATCAGCTATTCTAAATTTAGTCATTTTTTCTACCACTAATGTGACAGCAAAGATTGCTGAGTTTTGGGATGAAAATAATTTTTCAGTCTGGTACATGATATTTTTAAAGTGCTTATTTAAATATTGAGTGTCTCTTGTTTAAAATGTGAGCATTTTTCCTGTTCCTCTCTTATCTTCCTCACTTTTGAACAAGTTTAAATACTTTCATAAAACTTAAGGCAAATTTGCATCCAGAATTGCTGCTGTAACATTAAATAATTCAAGCAACAAGAAAATTATTTGAAAGTCTTAACTAATTCCTTTATGGAATATTAAATTGTTCTTTTGTAATTTTTGTTATTTTCACTCATTTTCGGTTGAATTATTCATCCTTTAATGAAGATGGTCAATGTTCTGCCTGCTTGGTAGCAGTCACTGAATCTTTATTTTTACAGAAGTGAATCCTGTGGCCCTGAGTTGTGGCTAAGAAACATCAGGCACATGATCAATGAGAAAAATCAACTTGAAATTATGTTTAAACTGTACCCATTTAGGAAAGAGACAACCATTCCTTGTTCAGGATTTTTAAAATAAATTGATACTTGAAAGTTAGCTGATAACAGCATTTTATGTCCTATTCATTAAAGCAGAATTTACCAGAATTTACCAGCTGATTTACTACTTCTTCTCTTGTTTAAAAATAAATTAATCTCTTCTATCCAGTAGCTGGCAGTACAGCTGGTCTGTCAACCTCCAGGCAATGACAAGGACAAGGTAGATGGGTCAATTTTAATGCACTGAATGCAAGTCAACAATTTCTCTCTTTCGGTCATGAATGTGTTCTCATATGTAAAGCTTGAATGCAGTAATTAATATTATTCACTATTATCTCTTATTTAAAATGTAGCCTGCAAAAGCACAGCAGCTTAGGTTAGATCTAGTAGAATTTTGACTGGGAAATGTGAAGTTTTACACTGGCTGTTTTCAACTTAAAAATATTTGCTGAATATGTCTTATTAGATAATCTGCCTTCTAGTACAATTTCTCAGTACAGTGTTTAGGTATAGAAGTGATTTTTAGGGAGATTGGTTGTTTGTTTGTTCTTTTAAATAAATTTGTAAAACTTCTCCCCCCCCCCCCCCGCTTTTTATGGTGCTTACCAATGAATTTGCAGAGAGGATTTTATAGACCTCTGGAAGTCTTAATTTATACTCCGGCATTTCTGCTCTTACCAGGACTTTATTATTTGTTTTATTTAATTTTTTAATGAAAATGCAGTAATTGTGTCAGTTTCTTCATTTCAACAATGTTGCATATAATTTTCTTGCTATTGTGTATCTCTTTTATTTTTACAATATATTGTTTGCTTTTACAGGTACCTCTAATATTTTGGCCCACACTCTCTATGGCATTAAGCATGCAGTGACTGCAACGTTGCACATTGTAATGGGTACATATTTTTTACATATATTATCAGATTTTAAATAATGAAACAGCATTTACAAGTTTGACATAAGCAGTGGTTTAATAAAGGTATACCAATATGCTCTATCATAGTAACCTATGTTGTAAGACTTGTAAACCCAAATGGTCCTATCCTGAATTATGACGTTCTGGAAAGGAGGCTATGATTCTTTGAATGTAGTAGCAGCAAAGGTTGTGGACCTCATCTTCTGGGAGCAGAATTCTGCCATGCAATAATGTCTAGTTTCTGCCTTCATGCCCTATCACTGATGTTCTTTTAATGCAAAAACTAACCTTTTCCAGACTTGATTGTGTGAAGCTCAAGGGAGTGGTTAGCATTGGAATTTTCGGGAAAATATTTCTGAGAAAGGATCATTCATCTTTTTTGTTCTATGTACATTTATTTTAAATACCAACAGTTTCCATAAGAAAGCTTTATTAGGAGAAAAAAAATGTATCACTTACCATTTGGTCTGCACAATAAGTGGGGTTTTGAATGTGAAAATGTAATTATGCTAAAGGAAAGGCTACTTCATGGTTGCAAACTTTATTTTGAGGTCTTAGGAAATAGCAAATACTTAGTTAAGCAGTGTTAATACTAATATCAGAGTAATTTTTCTTTAGGATGCCTTTTTTTTCCCCCCAAATAAAGAGAATAATGGGTAAGGTCCAACTTCAGTATCTATTTTCTGCACTTTTAGTCATTGGTGGACAAGCCTTAACTTTATTTCTTAGATTGCAATACAGAAGCCTTTACTGGCAAAATCTGAAACTGTTTTTTGATCAGAGACACTCAATCTAATGGAAACTACCCAATTTCTGTTGCAGAAAAAAATTATATACACAATCTTGAATGGAATTGGTTGTCTAAATTCTGAAATTGAAACAGAAATTCGTGTAAAACCTACATCTGAGAGCTCCCATATCTCTTCCAGTACAATGTTCAGTCATTACAAATATTTAGTGAAATGGCTGCAAATATTTATCTAGCAATGTTACATTTTCTTTGATACAGATTGTTGAAAATCTGAAATTTTTTTAAGACCCTTTGCAGCCTGATGAAGTAGCTGAGTTTTTGCCATAACTTTTTAACATTTTGAAACATCTGAGCATTGATCTCAGAAATTACTACTTTTACAGAGTCTTTAATTATATCTGGATTGATTCTGGTTTCCATTAGTGAAACTGGACTTCCTAAAGTAAGAAGAGTCTGGAGTTTCTCCATGCAGCTTACTTAGGTGAAAAAGAAATGGTAAATTGTTTTCGGTGTGAAATAAAGATGTTGCTTGTAATTTCTGAGCTTTATCTTTGAAATTGTAGGACATATTCAACCAGTAGATGTCTGCAGTTTCAGTACTCCAAGCAAGCTTTTGCGGTTTGGGTTCTCAGCTATGTTTGGCTTTGGTGCCAGGACTCTGGCCTTAGCTGAAAAGCACCGTTGGATGCCCTCCAACCAGCGGAAGGATTTTGCTTTTATCAAAACACTGGCAGATCTCAAGTATGTCATAAACTGTTGTAATTTTCTACTGTTTTTCATTTTTCTGAGGAAAATGCAGTAATTAACATGGTAAAAATATAGGCAACAGTAGTTTAGCTATCTTGGGTTCTTAATTGTAGAGAGATTAAACTCAAAGATGATGTGTATCCCTCTTAGAATTTAAAGGGGAGGTCAATTCTATATGTTCAGTATCTCCTTAAAATCATCTTAACTTCGATAGAAGTCTGTCTAGCAGTCAGAATATTCATTTACATGATTGTAAATGTCTCTTCTAGACCAGAGGAATGTGAATTGTCATTTCTACCTCTACAGATTCCACAGGAAGACTCTCATGAGAATGACAGGTAAGTAAAACAGAGTCAAACAATTCCAAAGCTACAAAAATGTCTCTACGATGATAAAGCTGTACAAATTCTTAATTATTTTCTGATTTAATCATCAGGTAAAACAATCTCCATAAATAAAGATATTCAGAACCACAAACTTGTACTTTGTAGAACATTCCCTATAGCTTATAGAGGATTTGTTAAAAAGCAATCTTCCACTCAGTATTACTGGCTTGTTCAGTTCCATTAATCCTTTCTTCCATAGAGATCTTACTTTTTTTTTCATTGCTTAAATGTACTAAAATTAATTTTAATTATTTTACCAACATGTTTCCACCCTTTTAGGAAGAAGAAAGAGAAAATTAGAAAAAAGGGTGAGTTTTTGCTTTTATGATTATTTAAAAGTGAGCTGTGGCTGGTTAAACTGCAGTAATGTGGAATTACTCTGTTATATTTAGGTAGCAAGGATCAATGGCAGAAAATTCAGGGCCACTTCCTGAATGTGAGCATTATGGCAATCCCTTGTCTGTGTTCAATGGCACCAAGAGGCTTGGCACCTAATACGAGGTCAGTAGGGGTTTAGAGAATTAGTCATGTCTATAAATTCTGACATCTTACCTTAAGACCTTGGCTATTCTTAGAATATGAGCCTGTGTTTAGGTAGTCTAGACCCTCTGGAATGGGGGAGGGAGCATGGACTGCAGCAGACTCAGTAATCCCAGAAATTGTAATCAGTTTTTGGATCAGGCAAATAAGGTCAAGCAGTCTAACTAGAATAATGAGTGGATAATTGCTGTGATTAAATTAGTTGGCAAGTCTGACTTAAGTAGTAGTCATTGAGCAGTCATCTGTCATAGGATTTGGCTATATGTAGGAACTTCATTCTTGGATTTTATTTTAGTTTTCAAATATAAGGGTGCCCCTCATCTTCTGTTTTATGGCCAAAAACAAAAAATGAAGTATGAATATTTATCCTGTTATGAGGAAGTGAAATTCACACTTTTTTTCTTTTTTCCCCCCCCTTGAACTTGGTAAATGCAGCTTCTACATGCAGGCTTTTGGGAAACAAATGAGTATGTAATCTAGTTGTTGACATTGACTCATTTTGCCTATAGCACATTGTGAAGAGTATGCTTTGTGGTGACCAAAACAGTAACCAGTTGATAAATATTTTTTCTTGATGTAACCAGTTGACTATTAAGCAGAACAGGAAGTACAAACTCTGTAGTTGTACATGAAATACAGCATGCTTCCTCAAAAAAATACACAAATGTTGATGAAAGTCATATTGAGAATGTGTGTGTGTGTTTATAAAAAAACTCCAACACTCAGGGATGTTTATGGAATGAGTCTGGTTTGTTTCAATTATTAGGTGAGAATGAAGGTGCCTTAGAATTGGTTTGGTATTTTTCTTCAAAGTTACTGACTGATCTGGTAGAATTTGGCTTCTTGAAAGCAATGTAGAAACAAATGTTGATGAAAGTCATATTGAGAAGTTTTCTTTGCTACAGGGGTCCTACTAAGCCACATATATTTTGTTTAGTCTTATGTGGGGGGAAGAAGATGGACCGTTCCCCACAATTATGTTCAATGAATTATGGATATTGAGTACTATTAACCGAGAACTATTATTACATTTTATGTTAGAAATACATAAATGCTAAATCACCTCAATTGTGTAGTTTATATTGATCTATAAAAGGTGGTCTTGGTCTTTGGTTTTTGGTCTTCTTTTGCAAAAAGACTTGAGAATACATTGAGACTGTTCTATTACTTGAGTCTTAGCAGCTTTTCTTTAAAATTTAGACTTTTGAAGGGCCTGTTAAAACTTCCAAATTAATGATTTTCTGGGGGGGGGAACTGAATTTGTCTGTTTTTCAGGTTGAATAATGGCAGCATGGCTCTAATTGTTGTACAAAATACTTCTCGAACAGAGTTTATAAAACACCTGAAAAGATATGCCAGTGTAAAAAATCAGGTACTGGTAATTTGTTTCTGGTGATTACAAAAATAAGTTAATTGTGAAGGTAGACACGCTGCAAGAGTTGATGTTAGCATCATCATAAGGAGACTTAGCTTCCTGTCAGAATACATTAGCCTCCTTTTTATCTTTTTTTTTTTTTTCTTTCTTTCTTTTTTTAAGTCACTAGACTAATACCAATTAGCCTATTTCAGCCCATCTGTTCTGGTTTGATTGTAGTTGTGTTGTACTATAGTTTCATGGGTGTAAAGCCCTTTTGCCACAATAAAGGAAATGTACGTGGTGTTTAAATTTTGTGCAGTACAGAGATCAAGAACACAGACTGGGGGTTATCATGCAATTATTTGTAAGAAGTAAGTGGAGACCGTAAGTTCAGCAGATCACTGCATGCTATGCTGGTAGCAGTGGATTGTAACCGTAGGTATGCATACCATCTAGTTTTGAATGTTTGCAGAACTGCGTTTCAAAATTGTGGTCATTATTCTGTCTTTGAAGAGAAAAATGAAGCATCCAAACGCAGTGCCTTTGTGCTGTCCTAAATACCTAGCCTAAGCACACTGGTACTCGCTGAAATGTGTTTCGGGATTAGGTGAAATCACTTACAAGAAGACTTAGGTTTGAATTCATCCATAGTCAGAGAGTTTGGGGAAGAGATGGATGACAATTCCATGTGACAGCACCAACAGCTGCATTTAGGGAACAGTTCATGCTTTCCAGATATGCTTTTGGCTTTGTTTTTCTCTCTTCTTTTGTACTTAGAAATTAGACGAGGAGATGTGGCCCTTCCTTTAAACTTAAAATGACCATTTACTAGAAGTCTTAATTAGGTTTGTTTAGGACAGGAACACCGGTAATGATGAACAGAGCACAGGAAAGAATCTGATTGGACTTTCACATATTCTGAAAGCATGTGCTGTTTTGGTGTGTGCAAACTGAGTGAGTCTGATATGGGAGTGCAAATAGAAAACTACTGTGTTTTTCTGAGGCACTATTTAAGATAAAAATAGCACGGTAATCTATATACAAGTTGGAATGTATAATGCCTCATGTGGTCAAAGCTTGATTTAAGTGTTCCCATTTACTTGACAAACAAATAAAGCAAGCTTTTTTTATTTCAAGTAATCCAGTCTGTTGCTAAGCTACCACCTTTATCTTTCACCTTCATTTAATACATATCTGTGTTTGGTTTAGTTCAATTTTCCCTTCATTGAGACCTACACCATTCAAGAAGTAAAAGTACAGCCAAGGGGTAAAAGTGGGCTTGATGACAAAGAAAACACATCTTTGAATGCTGCTTCTGCAGAAGGAAATTACCCTTGGAATATAGATGGAGACTTAATGGAAGAAGCATCAGAAGTTCATGTTCGGTAAGGTTCAGTATTATATTTGTGGGCTTTATACCTGTAAGATAGCAGTGCAATCTTAAATGTATTATATCTGTATAGAATAGAGATTACACCCAAAATTGGCTGTTGTAAATACTGTAAGAATAGTACTGTTGTACACTGCACAGTCTGGCCCTTTTGTCGTGTCTCTGGTCTCTGCCCTGTTGCCTTGTGCCCATCTTGGAAAGGTTTGTTACGATCCACATGGACTTCCTGGTGCTTGATCAGCTTCCAGCTCCACTTGCTCTCTTCTTTTTGCCTGCTACTATACTCTTCTGTTTCTTAAAGGAGAACAGATGTACATAAAGGTCCGTGAATCCTTGGGAGGAGCTCCTTTTGGAATAGGGATTCCTGCTTGGAAAGCAGTGTATGTAAGGTTAATAAAAATGTGTAGTCATTCAACTGTGGGAAACTTGGTGCTGCTTGAGAACAGTCTGTGTATCTAGGGTCCAAGAAAGACTATGAATACATAGGGAAATAGGAGGATTATCAGTGGAATTAAATGAGTGGTGGATCGTTCTTCTGCAATACAGACAGGATTAATCAAAGGCACAGAGCTCTGGCATGTAACATAAAAGGCAGATGATGTTATAGGATATATTATAGATACTTCTAAAGATGATTGAATAGTTACTTTAGTTATTTAATTGTCAAAATGTAATTCACCTGATTTTATTCCATATAGCAGTTTATATATATTTGTTCTCCTCCAGCCCCCCAAAAGTAGTGCATTCATGGCAAAAGATAATGAAATTTATAAAGCTTGATTTCCTCACTTCACAGGGTGCATCCTCAACTTATTAATCTCTATGGAGTGAACACCGATGACCTGGAGAGTTCCCAAGCAACATGCAGTTGCATATAGAAGGGACACACTGCAAGTTCTGTATGACAGGAACCTTTTCTCACTTTTATGCACAGCTTTCCAGGGTCCCAGTCTTTCACTCACTGAATTCAGTTCTTGTAGCAGAAGCCTAACCAGGACAACTGTAGTATTTCTGGTTTTAAGTTTTTATCAGATTGTATTTAACTGTAAAGAAACTGCTAAACTTAATAAGAAAAAATGAAAACTGATTATATTGGTCTCTCATAAATAGAGGGGTTGAGAAGTGTCCATAAGAATGGAAAATATTTTTTCTTTAAAATTACTTTTATTTATTGCAAAAGCTAGAATATCTCGTAATTCTGCTGCTGCTATCCATGTCATTGAGTTACTCAGTACAAAAAGAGCTGGTGAGTGGAGGTATGGTACCACCTCATGCTGAAGAATGGTAGCGAAATATAGATTAATTATTTAATCAAGTAATTAAATTTCTAGTTATAATTTTTAATATTGCCTTAATGTGTTTACTTTCAAATTGTTTCTAGTCAAACAGTAATATAAAAGAATATGCTGATGTCTTATAAGGCTTTTCTTTGTTGAAATGTATTTTAAAGACTACTCTTTGTACAAAGATATTTGAAAATATTTTATCTATCCTAGAACTAAAATGAAATGCAGCATAGTTTTTGTTGCTGAGAATAAAGTAATTATAAATAACTTAAAGTTGACTTAATTTTTTCTAACTTCCTTATCACACAGAATCCTAGGGGTTGGAAGGGATCTCAAAAGTCTAGTCCAACTCCCCTGCCAGAGCAGGGTCACCCAGAGCACATCACACAGGAACGCATCCAGGTGGGTTTTGAATGTTTCTAGTGAAGGGAACTCCACAACCTTTCTGGGCAGCCTGTTCCAGGGCTCTGTCACTCTCACAGTAAAAAAGTTTTTTCTTATATTCACATTGAACCTCCTATGCTCCAGTTTGCATCCATTACCCCTTGTCCTATCACTGGTCATCACTGAGAAAAGTCTAACTCCATCTTCCTGACACTCACCCTTTACATATTTGTAAACATTGATGAGGTCACCCCTCAGTCTCCTTTTCTCCAAGCTAAAGAGACCCAGCTCCCTCAGCCTTTCCTCATAAGGGAGATGTTCCACTCCCTTAATCATCTTTGTAGCTCTGTGCTGGACTCTTTCAAGCAGTTCCCTGTCCTCTTGAACTGAGGGGCCCAGAACTGGACACAACACTCCAGATGCGGCCTCACCAAGGCAGAATAGAGCATAAATATAATGTGTGGGGTTTTTGCAACTTATTAAATATTTATTATGTATTTGAGATTACATCATATTAAGACCATTTTCTTTCTGGGAAATTGCTTTCTTTGAGATGGTGAAAAGTAGCAGACTGGCAAGTTTGTCCATCTTGCAGGACCATGGGGATAATGAGTGTTTTCCTGGTCACTTATCTATGAATTTTTCAGATGGCAGCTGACAAATAATGGTATGAAAGCTGCATTACCTGGTGAGAATGAGTTGCTTTAAGTTCTTTCTTCAGTAAGCAATTGAGTATAATGTGAAACCCAGTCATTTAAAACTTTGTTAAACGAAGGCTCTAAGCGTTTACATGGGATTTATAGCTACTCTATTTTATTTGACTTAAAATACTGCTTGTGAGAAATGTTTACCTGTGAGAAGTACACTGCACCTAAAAAGTACTGTGGATGATTGTGAGTCTCCTAAGAACAAGCTCTTACTTGTTGGATATCTCATGCAGTTTCTGCAAACTTGGCCAGTAGTAAAGGCCAAATTCATAGACAATTGGATGCAGGCTTCATAGGCAATTAATTATTATAGGAATCTTACAGCTCATTCTGCTCTTTGCACTGGAGTTAAGTGGCTGCAGAGTAGGATCAGAGTTGCAGCATCCTTTGGGCTGGATGAGGCCCTGATGGGGCTCCAGCCAGCCTGCTCAGAGCTGGTCCAGCTGAGATCAGATCTGGTCACTCAAGACTTCCCCCAGTCCAGCCTTAAGGCCTCCAGGGATGGCAATGACAACCATTCTGCACCTGAGTCTTCATGGGGAAAATATCCAGTGGAAACCTCTCACTTCAGTTCATACCCACTCTCTGAGTCACGGTGAGTAGTTGCCAGTTAAGCTACTATAATTGATACTGTATCACATCAAATATTTTCACCTTAAGACAATTCAAACTAAAGTTGTCTAAGAAAGAGATTCTGGCTACATTTAAGTAGATTTATCTGGTTTTATTACATAACTAAAAAATAATTAACTTGCAGAAGAAACAGCATTCATGTGCTTAACTTGTTGGGGTTCTTTTAAATAAAATGAAGTTCAGTATTACTTTTTAATTTTGCCACCATAAGGACATTGTACATTTATATTTTGTCAACCTGGTTTATAAAAGCTAATTGAATTTTGCATTATATTCTAAGAACAGGCAGCCAACAACTGTTAATAAGAAAATCTGAATTGGAAGTATACAATTTTTCAAGGCAATCTAACTGCATTTACTGCCTTATGTAAATTATTTAAAAGATAAATAAAATGCTCTAGTTTCACTTCTTTGCATTGTTTGTACTAAAAACTATTTTAATGCTTCTTCCAATATTTGAGGTATATTTTTCACAATATGCTGTAATATCAACATAATTTCTGCTCAAAGATAGTTTGGTTAAAGTGCAAAAAAATTCACTAAAGCCATTTTGGAGATTAGCATTTTGTGTATATTTTCATGACTTTCAACAAAATACTTCATTCTTCAAATACCTGATTTAAAAAAAAATAAAAGATATATATATGCACATTCATTTGTCCTTGCATTACAGAAGATTTTTAGAGAGAAAATTTACTTTAGACTGATCCACATCTTTGGCATCATATGAAGTGAAAGGAAATTACAAAATGGTCCCCAATACCTTTAGAATCTGTAGTCAATGTGGCTTTCATGTCACCAAACACGCAAAAGTGCTTGTTGAAGGCACTTGGTAGCACTTTTGAGTCTCAAGCAAATTCCCGTATGGTGCAGCTTCCAAGAGTACATATACATCCTGTTCATTTCTCCTTGCAGTTCAGAAGGACACTGAAGGCATGGCAAGAAAGGCTGTATTGCATACTTCTGTTGCAATAAATGCAGTTATTGAAGAAGCTGTACATTCTCCAGTTGTTCTGGGGAGCAAAGTAATGTTTTTTTTTCCCCTGGCTTGTACTATTTCACCAAAGCTAGGTGGCAGTGCAAACTTAGCTAGCCGAAGAAAGTTCCTGTAGTAGCAGAGCAGTGGTTTGAACCATGTTTCTATCCAGTCATTTGTCTTTCTGCTGAGTGGCTTCTGAGGATGCCTGCTTGGATGGTATTTACCACATAACTTCACAAGAACCCAAGCTAGCTCTGCAAATGACTTCCTTATTAAAGGTGGCACATGGAAAGATAAAATTTGGCCCAGTAAGGTTAGCATTTGGAGTCAGTTGGGTATGTGTTTCTCTGTTTTGTCCTCGTGAAGTCTTTTTGTTTTTCAGGTCCTGGAAGAATGCCAGTACTAAATACTACTATGCTAAGTATAATAGAAAAATCTTCAAATAAATAAAAATAAATACTTGCTTTAAAAAAAAACACAACAACCACAGAGAATTATTTCATTGGAGAAATCCAAAACGTCATGGCACCAATAACTGAGGAGAGGATGAAACAACCAATTCTGTCACACTTGCAAGTACCATGTTAAAGATGGCTACAACTTAGGATCTCCAACATGTTCCTCTTTCTACAACTGAAAGGATTTCCGTGCTGCATCTCCAGCCTACCCAACACAATTCCCTGCTCTGAATCCACCTTGGACCTTTGTGATTCTGGCTTGCCTGGTGGTGTCTAAGTCTGCAGTGTGTTGGCTGTGCTCAGGAAGCCAAATTTACACTGTTTCCTTCAGAAGCCTGAGAGCTTCTGTAGCTGCTTTCTCCATCCGCGTGCTCTGCTTACCACCCCGCTACTGGTTTAAGCTAATTTACCCTTGTAACACAGCCAAAGCAAGATGAGGGAGGACTTGTTCTTGAATGTCTAATCAAAGATTACTGAAATTTGAAAATGAATAGAATAACTCATGCTAATATGTTTGAGATCTTATTTTCCAGGATTGGCCAAATGTTGTTACTTGCAACAAATTCTTCTTTCTGGTAAGTAATTATTTTCTTTATCTTTAGTGTTCTTCTGTCTGACTGAAACCAGATATATATATATATGTGGCATTTCAAATATTACCGTGAGACTTCAAAACAAACTGCTTTACAATTGTCATATTAGAAGAACAGCAGTACTCTAAGGTGTAGTTCTCCATACTGTTTAAAAAAATAAAATGTACTTTGTAAGAGTGAGTGGGCTCAAGACCATTTTTCTTGTCACTGGTGTCTCTCCTGTGAATTAACCTGAATTTGAAATTCTTCATTTTAAAATCAAATGTTTATATGCCATCTTACTCTTCTTTGTTTCCACTTGTAAAACTCCAGCTGTCTCTTCTGTTCTTGTCTTGAGGGATTTGTTTGTATTGCCTTTTGAAAAAGCCAATCTGAAATACATAATTTTGGAATCTGTTGTTAGCACATCTTTGCTATAAAATCTAAACCATAAATCATTAACTAAAATAAAATGCATATATATATTGTGTAGGAACAATGGTATTTCCCTTTGCTTCGATGTGCCATGTAATCTAGTGTTACTCATCAATCAAAAAAGTGAGTTTGCTTTTACTTTTTGGGAGGCTGATACTCCTCTGCAAGGTGTAAGGACATGTGGGCACGTGATAATAACAGTCCACAAAATCCAGTATTGATTTTTTTTTTTCTATGTGAAATGGTAATAAAACTTTTCTGTTAAATTAATGTATTTTCTACACTGAAAAAAAAAAAAAGCAGGAAGAAAGTGTACATGTGGATAAATAAGTTATTAACAGTCTATTAATCACTTGTCAGAGAAGCTGTTTCCTTTGTAGTATTTTTTCTTTATGCACGGGATTTTTTTAGCATTTATGTTGCAGTTTAAAATCTAACACATTTTATTGTGGCATGAATCTATGTTGTAGACTATTAATCGCCACATGCCAAATGATATTAAATGTGAAGCACTATAAAGATGATCCATTT